CTACTTCCTACACGGACGCAATCCAAAGTTTACGTCTGGATGCCATTCAGTGTGGCCTAGTGCCGCATTCGTCAAACATTTGCGAGTTTTAGGAAAACCCGAAAACATCTTAAGACAAACAAACGTTGTGGATAAACGAGGGTCCTTGTTAACATTGTAAGTTTTCCTAGCATGGCTCGCAGCTTTCCGCTGTGTTCCAGAGCCCCCGTAACCTTTCCAACACCTACCCCAAAATATCCAGCCTGCAGCGGATGACATTTGGGTTTTATCTAACGGCAAGAACTTCAGCCGTTACTTACAAGTGTTTTCTGGCGATCACGTTGTCGGTTATCACGAAGGCGTTTAGGGGGTGTGACTGCACGTCGTCTATGAGGGCGCCTCATTACCTGCCCCCGGTAGTAGTTATCCGCCCCCTCGGGACCGGGGTGGAGAAGTAGACTGTCTGGTGCAACACCTTGATGTGATTAGGATATTCCCATTACAGTGTGTGTTACGCGGGCCCAATTTATGAGGTGTAGTTTTTACCTTGTACCAATCAACACATTCTGTTACTTGTTGTTCTGTAATCAGGAACATAAGGTGCACACGGCGGAGGGACATTGTTACGGTAATATGTTCTAATTTAAATGTCAATGCCAATTAACGTGAATTTGAAATACAGGAATGGGTATCGGTCTGTCGGAAACTTGATGTGCTAAATCACGGCCAAGGAGCCTAGTGGTCGACAGTATGAACATCACCGTGTCGTTGGACATGACCACAGCTAATCAGTCTGGTCACGTCATCACCTCCAAATGGTCGTCATGTCTTGTACACGGGGCAGATTCTGCTCTACCATTACCACATCTGACATATGAGTGAGTGAGTGGGGGTGGGTGGGTGAGTGAGTGAGGTTCAGCACCACAATGCATACCTGATGTGGGAGGAAAGCCCATAGAGAGGCAGGTGTAAGTGTACCGGGATTCGAACCCTGGAACATGTTTATGGCACACCACAAGGAGGCAACACTACATCAAGTTCCGACGGTTGAGACGACTGACCTCCAGCGTTATAGATAGGTATGGCAACTGCAGCTAACACTATGATCTTAAAATAACTTTCCTCAACATTCACCTCACTTAATCTGAATGTTGACATTCATGTATGATCAGGGTCCTGTCTTAACAGACAAAACGGGCCCCAGGGGCCCCATAATTTATTTCCAGTGTCCTTGAAAGACATATGAGGGTGCTGTAAAGGAATAACATGGGTTAGTGTACTGTTATCTAAGATTTAATCGTTACTTCAATTACAAGAGTTTTGTAAATAAAGGAATATAGGACAATGAAAACAGTGGAAGCACTACAGTCTTTTTCTGCGCCCCGTCTGTGTGTTTGTGGCTACTGGACGCTCATGCCCGTGTGCTGTAAAACCCAGATTATGCACTAATTAACATCCAAGTAGTGAAATACCGTAGTGTATTATTTTAATTAACTGAACCACGTTGAGTTTATTTCCTATTTTCTGCCTTTTTATTGTTTTCTGAATGCCTTAATGCGGTCCTCTGTGGCCCACCGATAATTAATTATGGGTTGTAGCACGTTGTAAGAGTGCAATGCATGATTCATACAAGTTGGGCGACACGGAAATACGATGTCTCATCTAATTCCGTGTAAGTAACGCTCCGACATTTGGAATACCCTCCTTGGCCTTGCAACAATATTCCTTGATATACAACTCTAAGATTTCCCGTAATGTGACCGGAGGCTAAGCTGAAGCAGAAAGGCCACAGTCAATTGGTTATTTGTTCTTCGTTCCGTCCTCCGTGGAAACAAACACTGAGTGTGGTGTCAGACCTGGAGGGGATGCCTCTTAACACATGCTTGAGTGAGAGAGTGAGTATGGTTTTAAGCCGCTTTTAGCAATATTCCAGCAATATCACGGCGGGGGACACCAGAAATGGGCTTCACACATTGTACCCATGTAGGGAGACGAACCCGGGTCTTCAGCGTAACGAGCGAACGCTTTAACCACTGGGCTACCCCACCGTTCCGTTAACATATTGACAGTAGGTTGAGTAGGAGGCGTGTAACAGAGATGTGTTCGGAACATTGTCGTTCGTAAATCAGTTGTTGCGACTAAATGCAGGCATATAGGTTCGATCGTTTTCAATGGTTGAAGCCTCTTACACTGATGTTGCTGGAAATGTTATATTATTCATGCAGCATTCATTCATTCATTCATTCACATGGGTACAATACATGTTCAACCGTTGTGATATTGCTGATAAATTAAACAGTATCATTTCACCCAGTCCGAATGAAATACTTTATATCTAACGCATACCAAATTCAAACTAGGTGAAAATATCTTTCTTTCTTTAGTTCAAACTGCGTTATACAGTTAGGAAATAATGTGAATTTGAAAGATACGGTTGCCGGAGACTGGATGTACCAAATCATGGCCAGGCCGCCAAGTGGTTGACGGTATGAACATCACCGTGTCGTTGGGTGTGACCACAAACAGTCAGCCAGGGCACATGCCATCACCTCCAAGTTTAATGGTCGACGGATCCTGTACACGAGATTGATTCTGCTCTGCAATTGCCACATCTCACATTTGAGTGAGTTAGTGAGTCCCACGAGGGGCCCAAGGACCACTAAAATATATTCATAAGTAAGTGAGTTGGGTTTTAAGCCGTTTTTAGCAATATTCAAGCAATATCACGGCGGGGTACACCAGAAAATGGGCTTCACACATTGTACCCATGTGGGGTATCGAACCCGGGTCTTCGGCGTGACGAGCGAGCGCTTTAACCACTGAGCTACCCCACCTCCCCTTTTATAAGTGTCCATGCAAGACAAATGAGGGTATAAAGGAATAACATGCGCTAATGTACTGTTATCTAAGATTTAATGATATTTCGTGTGTATAATTAATCATTATAATAAATAATTGTTAAAAGATGTTCCCAGTATCCGTTTCAACCCTAGTATCATTCAAGCATTGAGATAAGCGGATGTTAAGCTAAATGTCAGGAACGCAAATATGAGCAGAACGTAGCCTGTCAAAATGTGCGATGAAAAAAGAAACGAAATACCAATAGTTAATGTCACAACATGTACTCAGGTCTAAAGGGGTCCCATCTATCAAGTTTCGTGTCAGTTCATCAATGGCATATTAGACTTAATAGGGAAATTTTACTCAATACTTTACGACCCGTGAACGTTACTTCGTCTAAGGAGGATTTTAAGACGAGGCGGAAAATACAACTGTGGCTGCGCTGACTTGTCGATACTTTGCTCTGAAGTAGGTCATGAAGGGTGGATTTACCCAGTCACATATTGCTGAACGCTGCAGTCAATGTCTGGAATCTGATAAAACGCTCTCGACGTTCAGTATGACATTGGCGTATACATCCGTGGTGTGATTTCAAAATACCATGTTGTTGCAGGTAATGTGAGAGTAATAGTGGCCAAGAGTGTTTAGCGGTTAACAGTTGGCCTATAACGGACATACCCAGGCCTCACCGTAGGAATACGGAGGTCTGATGTGATATTTCATGTTCAAATTGTATGCGGGGCGGTGGGGTAGCCTAGTAGTTAAAGCGTTTGCTCGTCCCGCTAAAAACCCGGGACTCACTCACTCAAAAGTTATGCAATTATAAAGCGATGTGCATGTGCGTGCGCGCCGGTGTTATTGCGGTATCCCCGGGACATACCATGCCGCTACCCGACGTTACATTTAAATACGGCGTACTGACAACTAGCTGTCTATGGAGTCTTTGTTACATCCCCTTTAATGTACATCGTCAGACAACATCATACATAGTCAGTAACAACAAGTGCATCTGTCGATACGCACCGCCCGGGATCAAACCCCGACTTTCCGCTTTGCGGACTAACACTCTTTCCACAAGGCCACCAAGGCGCTACGAAGCATACCACATCACAGTCTCGGTCCCTGAGTGCTTGATCATGTTTTAGTCTTTTTTAAAAAAAACAAGAGGCGGTTACGTCAGCAATTTGCTATGCAGAGTTGCGTCCCTTTAGTATGAGCCATGGGTCTAAATTCAAGGATCGTTCTTGATTCTAATTTTTTTAGCACCATACACTTGGGACTTCACCAAAGTAGTAAATATCTTAACCCTGTATCATTCAAGCTCACTCCATCGTCCATCTACAAGCCGTAATATAACTGAAAATATCTTCTCAGTGACGTGCGAGTACTCTGATCAAACCGATTGCCAAAGGGGCAGTCATGTTTTACGCGCTGCTCTCTGACGCGGCGGGGGGTGACCGTGAATTCACTGTGTAGAGAACCTCTTTCTAATTGGCTGATGCCCAGTTCCTGGTTGTCATTCCACGGTAGATATCAGATCTTTGCGTAGCGGGCACTATGAATTTAACAATCGACTACTAGTATTCTATTTGACAGTACTTACTTGTACTTGAAAACAGATTATTGCAAAATAAGTGTTGATATGTTCGATGGCATGTAGATTAAGTATAGTCTTATGTATTTTTTTAGACTAACAACTAGTCTCTGAAATGAACATATTTTACTGAAAAAAGTTCATACTAAAAAAAATATATATATAATGAAAAGGAGCCCTGAGACTTTCTTCATTTTCAGAAGCTGAGGAAATCTAGACTTGCCAAATTTTCTAGACTTGTGTGGGCTTTCTTGGATATATTTGCTTCAGGGTCTGTACGAGAGACTAGTATTTTTTAATAAGAGATATTTATTTGTGGAGGTTTTAAAAAACAATAGGAAGCAAGGAATATTAACTGTACATATGTCATATGCCGTCTGACGTCATGGCTCTGTTCGTGATATCTACCCCTGGTTCCCATACTACAGATATGATTATATACAGACCGCACTAATTAATACAGTTGTGATAGCAGCCCATATAGTCAGTTATGATAATGAGACAAGGCCCTCGCTGTGCTAATGCGATTGTCTGTATCACAATTGTGTCTATAAACCGTCCAACTATTATTGATCGTAGTCCTTTGCCGCCATACTACGTCTAAGACTCACTTCGGATCGTTGACAGTCGTGATCACTCGTCTCTTTCCGTTGATCAACCGAAACCTTCGGCTTGTCACGGAAGAGGCCGAATGAATCCAATATGTCGGTCATGTCACGACGCCTGTTTGTCACACTTCCCCTGTCATAGGAAGAGTCACATATCATGTAGAGACACCCTCATGTCTCAATTATGTAATTGTGTGTATTCATTTCAAATCCGGAAAACCCACACGATAGGTAATTACGGAGGTAACAAGTGACGTAATTGCATAAAATGAAAAGTTCAAACCAGTTTTCGGTTCATCCAAAACGTGTGGACTCATCATTTGCACTTAACTAACAACATAATGATACAAACCCACGCCTTACGACACAATTAAACTTAGCACCCCCTTGAGGTAGAGAGTGCATTGTCATAGTTAACTCATCATGCGATGTACATTGCTCGCATGTTTACAGGGTCGACGGAAGTACTAAAGTACGCTCAGTTCAGTACACAAAATCATAATTTGAGGCCGACAGCTGATCAAGATATATAAATAACTCGACTACACTTGTAGTGATGGAGTAAGGTTTTACGCCAGTTTAAACTATATTCCAGCAATATCACGGTGGGGAATACCAGAAATGAGCTTTATTACACATTCTTCCCATATTGAAAAAACGAACTTGGGTCTTTGCCGTAACGAGCGAACGCTTCAACCACTAGGCTACCCCACTGCCTCAACCTTACTTACATGTGGTTCGATCAACCCGTATCTCTTTTCTCTCTCTGTATTTTTGAACGTTCAGTTCTCTTACTGTCGAAGTCGAATGACATTTTCTTAAAACAATGATTCCCCAAAGCTGGCGTAGCTTTTCCGTTTGGTTAAACAGATTCCAATCTTTTCAATGTTACGCAGCGTTTCACTTTTATTTGGCCTGTGACACATACAAAGAGTAAAGCATGTATTTCACAGCATTGATGCTAATTTGTTTGTTCTAAAATGATATAAAATAAAAACACACGTTAGATCTACGCTCCCCACAGAAAACCCCATATCTCCTTTCCTTCAGGTTTGTTTTCGGGACAATAACCGACTCGGGAATGCCAACGATTGTTCAGCAAACTAACTTGACACCGTTACAGTCGCGACATGTATCTATTTGTGCACAATGCCATTCTATGAAAGCAACCTAGGAAGTAAATCATAACAAGTGCAATCATATACACTGTAAATTTAATCGTATGGTTTGATACATTGCCAAAGCAGTGTGCCAAAATGTCTGGAGTTATGAGGGTACTGACAGCACAGTGTTTGAATACATACATACGTACGCACGCACGCACGCACGCACGCACGCACGCACTCGTCCAAAGGGCTGGGTTTCCGGGATAATGGGGTTAAGACCAGCTGGGTTTCACTGGCTTTGGAAGAGGATTCAGGCTACAAAGAAATCGCAACAGGGACACGAATTCGGTCTTTGTTGTGTCACGACCATCCGACCTTAGAACGTTGCATTAGCTAATTGTCATTAATATCGCAAGGCAGAAGGTCACATGATAGGCTGTGAGTCATTTCAAAAGTCAGACTTCAGCAACCACGTACATGGACTGAAAACGAAATTACTTTCCCATAACGAGCTATGCATTTTGCACTGATCAGCACGGTTGTTTGTGTATAAGCCCCACTTCGTGAGTGTTGTGTACAACACAGAATGCAGTACAATAGAGAGCCTTGATAGAATCAGGAACTCTAGGTTTTAGAGAGTGGATTGGATTTGAGTGTAGAAGGATGGACGACTAGATATTGATTATTCTTCAAAATTGGGCCATTTCCTCATTTTAAAAGTTGATGTCACGCAGTATATTTATTTTTGAACGAATTTGAACATCAACAGCATCGAGCATGTTTTGTTTGGGATGAGACTGAAAAGCCTCCAGTACCATCTTAACAGAATGACCCATCACTCACACCTCAGCTTCCCCATCCACGTCCAGGATGGTGACTGATTCCTGACATCTCAGATCCACCCTTTACCCAATCACTACCCTGGCGCCTCAAATCACCACCCTGACACCTCAGATCCACCCTTTACCCAATCACTACCCTGGCGCCTCAGATCACCACCCTGACACCTCAGATCCACCCTTTACCCAATCACTACCCTGTCGCCTCAGATCACCACCCTGACACCTCAGATCCACCCTTTACCCAATCACTACCCTGGCGCGTCAGATCATTACCCTGACACACCAGTCCTGTCTGACACCCCAGTCCCTGACGCACCTGACTTATGAATCACGGAATATTGCTAACAGCAGCGTAAAACTAAACTCACTCACACCCAAGCACATTCCCCAATGGGCCAATCCCGATGTCCCCCCCCTGTCCCAACTAAACTCACTGACAATTTGACCCCTGTCCCCCACCCCACCCCCCCGGCACCCTACCCCACCCTCACAACACACCCTACCTTCAAATCCAACCCTGACAATTCAGCGCTCCTGTCCCCGCCCCTATACCCATGCACTAAACCGTAGCACATAGTTCCCCCTCTGGTACCCTGTCACGACCGTTACAACCCATCTAAACTCACATCTCCCTCAGTTGAACTCCACAGACAGAAAAATACTGCCATATCGCGGCACTTTGTGACTACACCGACAGGCAGGGGACGTTCCGCGTTGTTGAGGTACTAGGGTACGACGACATAAGCCTGTTCACGTGTTGTAATCACCTTGGGCAATCTCAGCTCTAACACTGTCATCAATCTAAGTGAAACTATGGGAATTTCGACAGCCGTGACACTGTACGAAAGGGGGACCCAGGGTTCTCATACACAAATGGAGATTAACGCTAAAAGCACCTTAACTATATATAATACTTTAAGATTGCTTAGTGCATGAGTACTGATATTTTGAAAAACAGTCGACACAATGAACACATTCTACAATCGAATACCCTGAGAGCGACCCACTGAAAAGAAACTCATTGTGTCGAAGTTAAATGTGTCGAACCTACTGTCGTAAGTAAAAAATTGTCCCTGCATATTCCTAATTTAGTCAACAATTTCCGATTTTGTCGAACTTTGGATAACTCGAAGCATTTACGTACGTCACTTAAACTTCGACACGAACGGTGTTCGACTGTACCAAGGTAAAAAGTAATCAAAGAATGTCCTCAGTTTGGTTGAAAGGATTAGGGACCACGGCAAACATATCTGTTACAAGAACTAATGGAAAATGCGAAGTATCTCACTATTAATTCGACGTGAATGTTCATCAAATTAACGTATACATTTCCACCATGCACGAATTTCCAAAACCATCCTCTTGATTTTCACAAGGATTCACGAAAAGGAATTCAAAGAGATTCAAGCATGCTTACGGTTTTTGTTACAGAGATAAATCTCAGCAGCACCTACATGTAGACCTCTAGAACGTAATTAAATAGGAGATTGTGGTAATACATAGCACACAGGGCCGCAAGAGGATTCGAGCCCATGTGCAGCATGAAAAGGTGGTTTTAAATACTTTATGTTGCTTATCATCATTGAAAGGGATTGCAGTGAACACCTTCTCCACGACGCCCCAGTCTATTCAAGTGCTCGACCCAGATGGTTTACTTGTGTCAATACTAGGATCTTGACGTCGTTCGGTAATCCGGGTCAAGCAGGCACTCTACCGTACTGATCAAAAGGAGAGGGAGAAGGTGATTAAACTTTCGCATAAAAACTCTAAAAGTACCTGTTGAATGAGCTGGGTGTTCAAGTACACTCGGTGTCGTAAATTATTAGCTGTAACGGGTATCATTCTAATTTATAATGGTATGAGTTAATAGACATTTCTAGCATTTAACAAAGGAACCGATTTAAGTGGTTCATTGGCACCCCCCAACTTTTATCCCTAGTCTCCAAACCCCACACAAATCAAACAAATCGTGTTGGATGCCGTTCATCTATTAAAGCTCTAAAGACATGTTAGCAAAGTGTACAGTTGATGCATAAAGGGGAGGAAAGGATGCGCGGCTTTGCAATGCATCTTCCACATAACATTCCTACTACTAGAGAATTTGTCTATCACACAACTGGACCTTTCTTATCCATCATGCGTTTCTGGGGACTCGTGAGCCGGACAATAAGTTGTTTTGTTTGTTTGATTTTAACGCCACACTCAGATATGTTCGAGCTATCTGATGGGGTCTGTATATAATCCAATCTGGACCAGACAATAAGGTGATTGCTATACTGAAAAACATTCCACGACGTCGGTATATCATGACATGATATGAAACCAAGTTCCAATCTGTTTGGTCGCCCCTTAGGCTGCGAATCTGATCTAACCCGGAATCCTTATGGTCGATAAGCGATGTATTTAATAACTAACAGATCACAGGTGACCTTCCTAGCCTGATTCAGACGCTTTCAATTGTTATAATAGACAACTCGACGTACATTCAAGACAAAATGACAAAAGGCATTTCTAAAACTTGGACCTTGCACTCCTGATACCTTGTCCGTCTGTTTCAGACATCTAAACATTACATCTTGCACTCACAATACCGTATGCGTTCTGGTTTGTCTGTTTCAGACATCTAAACATTTATACATCTTGCACTCACAATACCGTATGCGACATTCAAACATTACATCTACACTCATAATACCGTATGCTCTGATCTGCCTGTTTCAGACATAAACATTACATCTTGCACATAATACCGTACTGATCTGCCTGTTTCAGACATCTAAACATTACATCATACACTCATAATACCGTATGCGCTCTGATCTGCCTGTTTCAGAAATCTAAACATTACATCTTGCACTCATAATACCGTATGCGCTCTGATCTGTCTGTTTCAGACATCTAAACATTACATCTTGCACTCATAATACCGTATGCGCTCTGATCTGCCTGTTTCAGACATCTAAACATTACATCTTGCACTCATAATACCGTATGCGCTCTGATCTGCCTGTTTCAGACATCTAAACATTACATCTTGCACTCATAATACCGTATGCGCTCTGGTCTGTCTGTTTCAGACTTCTAAACATTACATCTAGCAGTCATAATAGCGTATGCGTTCTGGTTTGTCTGTTTCTGACATCTAAACATTACATCTTGCACTTTAATGCCATATGCGTTCTGGTCTCATTACATCTGTGTCTGTTTGACATCTAAACATTACATCTTGCACTCATAATACCGTATGCGCTCTGATCTGCCTGTTTCAGACATCTAAACATTACATCTTGCACTCATAATACCGTATGCGCTCTGATCTGTCTGTTTCAGACATCTAAACATTACATCTTGCACTCTTAATACCGTATGCGCTCTTGTCCTGTCTATTTCAGACTTCATTAACATTACATCTAGACATCTAAACAGTCATAATACCGTATGCATTCTTGTCTGTCTGTTTCAGACTTCTAAACATTACATCTAGCAGTCATAATAGCGTATGCGTTCTGGTTTGTCTGTTTCTGACATCTAAACATTACATCTTGCACTTTAATGCCATATGCGTTCTTGTCTGTCTATTTCAGACTTCTAAACATTACATCTTACACTCATAATACCGTATGCGTTCTGGTTTGTCTGTTACAGACATCTAAACATTACATCTTGCACTCATAATACCGTATGCGCTCTGGTCTGTCTGTTACAGCCATCTAATCATTACATCTTGCACTCATAATACCGTATGCGTTTTGGTTTGTCTGTTACTGCCATCTAAACATTACATCTTGCACTCATAATACCGTATGCGTTCTGGTTTGTCTGTTTCAGACTGTTGCAACTTACACAGTGACACCTTGCGCTCATAACGTGGCATGCACTCTCGCTTGTGTATTTCACACAACTAACCAATGCATCTTGCTCTCACAATGCAATATGCGCTCTTGCCAGTCAGGTTCAGACATCCTGCACTCTTATTACATCGCTTCTACAGTCTTCTTTGTCAATATCAGAAATGGGTCAGTTTGCAATGGAGATGTTTAAGAGGGAACAATCAATCAGCAGGTTGGAAGCGTGTGTGTATCACATGGGTTGGCAGGTCAAGCAGCAACCACGATTCCCTCACCAGCATATCCTTCAAGCTGCTTCCCATTTCCGAAGTCAGTGGTTGAACAAATACGAACAGCAGCTGTGTACATACAGTGGTGCAAGCTGCACACACACACATAAAGTGTGCAAGATATTCATACACATCATGTATGCAGAGCATCTCCTCCTTCTGTCCTGTCAGTTCCTCAACACAATGAGGTTTTGTCCTTGCCCTCTTTCTCGCGGCGGGTGATATGTTGACGACGTACACCAATCTGGAAACGATGTCGTCGCCATTAGTTTAGTCTATGACGTCGGAGCGGGTCTTTTGTCGCTTAACCGGCGCCGTTGTGAAAGTGCTTGGAGCTGTAACAAGTTGTATCTACCATGTGTCACTCCAAGGGAACTAGTTACTGTGTGAATTCCTTAGACGCTGATGCATGTAACGTTATTAAATACATTCCTGGAAATGTATGTTGATGATAGACGCATCTTAACTGAATTATATTCATGGTTTTTGAATGGTTCTTAGCAGAATACCTACTTCTTTACTCACGTGCTAATGTACAGGGAAACGTTTTCATTTTTCATGCCGGGAAGGTTTGGAAGCACACGAGCGCAAATTGGACACTCAAAAGAAAACGCTCAGAGTTTCAGGATAATATTGGTTGATGGGTATGTGCTTACGACTTTCGATCTGTGACTTGTGTAAATTACTCTATGCAAATAGGGGTGTTCAGCAGTCTTATATATGACTAACATGATTCTTAGTCTTTCATTTCAAATCGATTTTCTCTTTATGGGTTTCAGTATAAGTGAGTGAGTGAGTTTAGTTTTACGCCACACTCAGCAATATTCCAGCTATATGGCGGCGGTCTGTAAATAATCGAGTCTGGACCAGACAATCCAGTGATCAACAGCATGAGCATCGATCTGCGCAACTGGGATACGATAACATGTGTCAACCAAGCCAGCGAACCTGACCACCCGATCCCGGTAGTCGCCTCTTACGACAAGCATGGGTTACTGAAGGTTCATTCTAACCCGGACCTTCACGGTCGGTTTCAGTATAAGGCAAGGGTGGATAACTATAAACGTAATACAATGGCAAAACCTGGACTTCTATGTATAAATAACGTATAGGGAATTCTGAATACAGTAGATAAAAGGGAGGCTAGCGACTCACAATCGCTCTGAAAGACTGAAAGGGTACAAGTGTTTCCAGGTGCC